CCTCGCCCCTCTCCTCCATCTTCCCAACAGCATCAGTCCGAAACAACGATTCTTCTGGGATATCTCATACGCCGCAGAGGAAGTCTCAGGTCCGTGAAAGACGTGCAAACGTCTGAATGTGCATGACAGTGCCGTAGTTCGACTAATCCAGCCATGCCTAAATGCCACCCGGGAAGAGCGAAACCCGAAGGTCCACCGTGCCGTACAAACGCACCGCCGTACAGTGGCAGCAACACGGTAAAATGGAACCTCCAAGAAGGCAGCGCCCAGCACAACAGGACGGCAGAGAGGGAGAGAGATGGCAAATCGATGAGGGTGAATCAGACACTGCCTGACCCGAGCAGCAGCAGCAGCAGCACAAGCAGCACCGAAAAGAAAGCGACACACACACACACCTCCCTCCTCCACTGAGGCAACTTGAGGGCGATGTGCTGAGCGGATAGCGAACGACGAGATACAATGAGCTTTTATTGGCCCGGTTCTCTGTGTGGGTACTGGCGACTGCTGGAATTCGGCTGGGCTAGTGTTTCGTTGTGACGTACATTGGGGAAGCTAGTGTTGGCGGTGGTAGTGTTGTTTGAGAGCTGGGTGGCGTAAGTTCGAGGATGGCAGTGTGATGAGGGTTTGAGTCACAGGGACCCGGGGTGGAGGGGCTGGGGTAAGCAACTGTTAAGCTTGGCTCGGCTGCGCAGTATGCACTCGTTTGTGAGTTTAGTGGGATTAATAAAACAAGCAAAGGAGGTCATGGGTAACGTTCTCCTGAGCGGTGGGTAACGTAGGCTTGAGGACTGGTGGGTGGAAGAGAGAGGGATGGGGAGGGGGGTGGTTTGGGACGCTCGAACTCGGAGGAAGGAAGGAACTGGGATATTGTTGCATAGTATGGAGTTATAGAAAGCTGGAGAGGACTAAGATGCTTTGGAGGCAGGAACTGAACACAGGGGTGGAGAACATTAGGACATTAAATAGGAGCTCGGAGGCAGAAACTGAAGACAACAGTAAAGAGAACAGGACAGCAGAACATTACAGAGGAAGGTAAATTAAAGCAAATCTGAGCGATGAATAAAACCAAAAAAACCCAGTTGAAAGCGTACCGGCTGCCGGTACAAGGATGTGTTTTTTGCACAGTTCCCTCGCAAGTTTTTTCCGCCAATGACACGTTCTTCCCGGCATATACTTCTAGCTAAAAGAATTGGGACTGACTACCACGACTGTTAGAAATTATTACAATAACTCCCAATCCATGCCCAAAAAATTCGGCGCTCTGGATGCTTCGGTTGCGGAGTTACGTCAAACTTCACGTATTTGTACGTGAGTGGCAACGTGAATGCTTTCTTCGCCTACGGCTGTTCAAACACGGCCCTGGGTAACTCTTAGAAAGTTCCAGTACTCGAGCTGCTCTGGTTGCAGATTTACGTCAAATTCTACGTGTTCGTACTTGAGTAGCAAAGTGAATGTTTTCTTCACTTGTGGTTACTCAAACACGGTTCTGCGTAACGCTCAGGAAGTTTCAGCGCTCCAGATTATCTGGTTGTGGCGTTACGTCGAATTTCACGTGTGCACGCGTGAAACGTACGTGGGACGTGAAAGTCATGCATAGGTGGTTTTTGCGTGCATCTGACCAAAGGCCACGGTCAGTTATGCTCAGAAAGTTCAGATCCATTGACTGGTTCAATTCTGAAGTTAAAAAAGCGCATGCGTGAAATTTTCACGTGTTCGTGCGTGAGATGCAGAGAGGCTGGAGAGTTCAATTTACTTCCACAGGCACATCAGTGGGCGATAAGTGACGCTGCAAAATTGCAGCTCTCTCCAGCTTTTTGGTCAGCTGAAAGCTAGAGTTGGCATGATGCCAGTTCAAACTTCAACGTGTGCGTACGTGAAACCTAGAGCTGCGTGAAGGCTGAGTTTGAAATCTTTGGATTAGACTCGGCCAAGAAACATCTCTGTGAAGTTCCAGCCTCTTAACATGGGCCATTCCCGAAAACGCTTTCCCGCCAAAAAAACTTTCACGTGCCCCTACGTGAGGACCACGCGGACCTGAGCGCTCATCTTGAGAATACGAACCACACGTATGTGTAGATTAAGTCATCAAATTTTCAGCCTTGTAGCTTTTGCGGATCTCGAGATGAAAACTCGTTACAAACGCACACACAGACACACATACACACACAGACAACCTTTCGACAATATGCGTATTTGCATTGCATAGCTGCAAAAAACGCATAAAAAGCTGCGCTTATACGAGTGGAACCTGTGCTGTAAAGACTCGGCGTCAGCAGGAGACTTCCCCTGTTTATGACGATCAGGCTTAGTTGAAGCTGAAGACGAGTAAGATCGATTGGATTTGTATAAAAATTCCACACAAAATTCCAATTTACCTTCGACAATAAAAAGGGTGTTAAGTCTAGGCCAGTAAGCTTCCTGCCAGCCCTCAGTCAGCATCAGATTTCTTTCCTAGCATATCAAATCCATAAAGAAATTTGAACCAAGGTTCAAATGATCGATGGAAAACAACGATTTTGCTGGCAACGCAGTCAGACTATAACGGCTGTAGCACGAATGGTGGCCACGCAACAGCAAGGGAACTACTAAACCCAAACTCTGTTCTGAAATCATTTTGAAATAAAAGTAGGCCGGTGCCTTCGTGTTTTTCCTATTTTCAATTTCTTCAAGCACTGATATCTTTGTATGCAAGTAATCCAGTGTTCCGGGTTAGTCAGATTCTGGATTTTCTTAGCAGCTTAAGTCGTGTACAACAGTTACACTTCTGTTTCTTTCCTCCAAAATCTCTTAGAAACAAAGCCCACCCCATCCTCATTTGTCTGGTCTACTCATGTTTTGCTCAGTTGATATTCTACATTTTTGTCCTTAACATTCGTAAAAAGTCGCATTTTACTGGTCAACTTTTTCTAAGCCTGATCGTCATAAATAGGGAAATTCTTTCCTTTTCTATGGAGGGCAGTACGGTTTTGCTCATCTTAGCTTCATCTAAGCATGAGCGTCATGAACACGCGCAGGAACCTCTCGACATAATTTTTTCGCATATAATTCACTTTATTATGCGTCTCGTGCTGTGTAACAGCGTTGCAAAATGCATATTGTCACGGGGTTGTCTGTGTGTATGTGTGTTTGTGTGTGTGCCGTACATTTTGTCCCTCACTTTCAATTCAGGAACCACAAAAGCTGGGCGGCTGAAATTTTGGTATAGTGTTCCCCGCCAACGGGTGACGCGACAAATTTAAATTCAGACTTCCCGTACCCGCGGGTAACACGTACGGCTCCGTGAAAGTTTTTACGGGTAAATTAATATCTCAGGAACCACGAAGTCTAGGAGACTGAAATTTTAGAGTAATGACCCCCTGCCCACGCCCAACCTTGCCCGCTCAAGTTCAGCGTTCCCACGCTCTCGGACATCACCTACAGGCTAGTGAATGTTTTTGCAGGTAAATTATTATCTCGGCAACCACGGGGTCAAGGAAGCTGAAATTTTGGAGTAATGACCCCCCGTCCACGCTCAACCTTGCCCATTCAAATTCAGCCTTCCTGTACCCGCGGGTAACACGTGCGGCCCCGTGAAATTTTTTTACGGGTAAATTAGTATCTCAGGAACCACGGAGTTTAGGAGGCTGAAATTTTAGGGTAATGACCCCCTGCCCACGCTCAACTTTGCCCATTCAAGTACAGCGTTTCCGCACTCTCGGGTATCACCTACAGGCTAGTGAAAGTTTTTACGCGTAAATTATTATCTCGGGAACCACGGGGTCAACGAAGCTGAAATTTTAGGGTAATAACCCCCTGCCCACGCTCAACCTTGCCTATTCAAATCCAACGTTCCCTCGCTGTTGAGTATCACCTACGGCCTCGTGAGAATTTTGGCGGTTATACCATTAACTCGGGGATCACGGAAAGATATTCACCGTTCAAGGTTTCGAATTCAGCTTTCATGCGCTGGTGCGTGTAATTTTTAACTATTTTCCATTGTTTGAACTATTCTTGCATAGACAAAGTACAAGACAGTGAAAATCATTAATAGGCAATTGTTCGATGGGCTGAATTGCACAAAACGCATGATCACACCGGCTAGTCTGGTGCGCGTTGCTATTTATCTCTTTCAAACCGTGGCGCTTGAGAATTTC